GGAACATACCTAAATATAAAAAAGGCAATATACAGCAATCCAACAGCCAATACCAAACTAAATGGAGAGAAACTCAAAGCAGTCCCACTGAAAGCAGGAACAAGACAAGATTGTCTACTCTCTCTCTATCTATTCAATATAGTACTTAGGGTCCTAGCTAGAGCAATAAGGAAACAAAAGGAGAGCAAGAGGACACAAATTGGGAAAGAAGAAGTCAAACTCTCACTATTTGCTGATGATAAGATAGTTTAATAAGCAACCCAAAAATTCTACCAAGGAACTTCTACAATTCATAAACACTTCAGTAATGTAGCAGGATTCAAGATTTATTCAAAAAAATTAGTAGCCCTCCTTTACACAGATGACAAATGGGCTAAGAAAGAAATTAGAGAAACCTCACCCTTCACCATAGCCACAAATGACGTAAAATATCTCGGAGTAACTCTAACCAAACAAGTGGAAGACATGTATGACAAATTTAAATCTTTGAAAAACGAAATTGAAGAAGATACTAGAAAATGGAAAGAGCTCCCATGCTTTTGGGTAAGTCAGAATTAACATAGTAAAAATGGCAATTTTACCATAAGCAATCTACAAATTCAATGCAATGTCCATCAAAATCCCAGCAAAATTTTTCCCAGGCCTCGAAAGAACAATACTCTAATTCATATGGAAAACAAAGAACCCCAGATACCTAAAACAATCCTACACAATAAAGGAACTTCTGTGGCATCACAATCCCCAACTTCAAACTCAGTACAGAGCTACAGTACTGAAAACAGCTTGGTATTGGCATAAAAACAGACAGGAGAACCAATGGAACTGAATCAAAGACCCAGATATCAATTCACACACCTACGAACAACAAAGATGGAAAAGAGAAAGCATATTAAACAAATAGTGCTGGCATAACTGGATATTAACATGTAGAATAATGAAAATAGATCCATATGTATTGCCATGCACAAGACTTAAGTCCAAATGGATCAAAGACCTCAACATAAAACCAACCACACTGAACCTCATAGAAGAGAAAGTGGGAAGTACACTTGAACGCATTGGCACAGGAGACCACTTCCTAAATATAATCCCAGCAGCACAGACACTGAGAGAAATAATCAATAAATGGGACCTCTGAAACTGAGAAGCTTCTATAAAGCAAAAGACATGGTCAACAAGACAAAACGGCCTACAGAATGGGAAAAGATCTTAACCAACCCCACATCAAACAGAGGGCTGATCTCTAAAATATACAAATAACTGAAGAAATTGGTCATCAAAAGAACAAATAATTCAATAAAAAATGGGGTACAGACCTAAACAGAGAACTCTCAACAGGAGGATTCTAAAATGACTGAAAGACGCTTAAGGAAATGGTCAACATCCTTAGTCATCAGAGAAATGCAAATAAAACAACTCTGAGATTCCATCTTATACCTGTAAGAATGGCTAAAATCAAAAACACTGATGACAACTTATGCTGGAGACACTGTGGGGTAAAGGGAACACTTCTGCATTGCTGGAGGGAATGCAAGCTGGTACAGCCCCTTTGAATATCAGTGCAGCAACTTCTCAGAAAATTAGGGAACAATCTACCTCAAGACCCAGCAATACCACTTTTGGGTATATACCCAAAGGATGCTCAATCATATCACAAGGACATGTGCTCAACTATGTTCACAGGAGCATTGTTTGTCATAGCCAGAACCTGGAAACAACCTAAATGCCCGTCAACTGAAGAATGGATAAGGAAATGTTGTACATTTATACAATGGAGTACTATACAGCGGAAAAAATAATGACATCTTGAAATTTGCAGGCAAATGGATGGATCTAGAAAACATCATATTGAGTGAGGTAACCCATACACAGAAATACAAATATAATATGTACTCATTCATAACTGGCTTTTAAACATAAAGCAAAGAAAACCAGCCTACAATTCACAATCCCAGAGAACCTAGACAATAAAGAGGACCCTAAGAGAGACATACTACATGGATCTAATCTACATGGGAAATGGAAAAAGACAAGATCTCCTGAATAAATTAAGAGTGTGGGGTCTATGGGAGAGGATAGAAGGGGAGGGGAGAGGAAAGGGAGGGGAGCAGAGAAAAATATATAGCTCAATAAAAACAATAAAAAAAAATCCTGACGAGAGAAAGAATTGTGGAAAGAATGTGTAAAAATTCCTAAATCTGCACCTGGCTTACACTCTGTGAAAGCATCACTGAGCATTCAAAAGATCAGCAGAGATGCTGCAGAGCACAAAGGCTGGAGTTCTAAAGATAAATTAATACAGAAAGGGAATTTCAGTTATGTAAGTGGGCATATTACAGGCCAAGTGTCCCAGACCTAACAACAGGAAAGGGCTCTCCCATTCAGACATAATGAGGGTAAAGGAAGAAAGAGGAAATGCAAGAACTGTATGAATCATGATCAGACAGAAAATATCAAAGAAAAAATGTCTTAAGTGACAGTAACTAAGCTAGTTAACAAGCGAAGACACAGAGTATTTCTCAGCAATTGTCCTTAAAGAGCACCCCTAGACATTTATTTGTCAGGTTTGAAGCCTTTAAAGAGAAGATCTTACACTCTGTCGAGAAGAAAGGTGGTGTAAGAACACCTTTGGACCTATTTTTTTCAGATCTTTAAGAACGGAGACACTAAAAAGAACAAGGATTATAAATATGACTCACACAATCCTGAGAGAACAATCGGCAAGGTGCCATCATTGCTAGATCACAAGACATTGAGTAGCTCTGGAAAGACACTAAGAGGTAAGAGGCACTTTATAAGAGAACAAAATGTGAACAAAGGGTAAAATTGTACTGACTTGCAATCAATGAATTTGGCCACACAAATTCAAGAAGGGTAATTAAGGGAGATCAAAACTCTCAACAATGGTGAACATGGCAAACTTTCTGTAACTACAAATTCTTTGCAGCCCCTCACAGCTGGAGTGCACAGAGTGGTATGTGACTGAAGTTGGGCTTCTCCAAAGGACTCATGGCCCATATGGTAACTGGCACTGCCAGACAGAAGTGAATAAGGTCACCACACGTCACCCTGCTCTACGTAAGCTGCCAGCTGTCAGGAACCATATGAGGGCCCCAGGTGAGACCAACACAAGAACTGATGGGCCCAAATGGCTGACTCAAACCTGCAAGCAAACAGGACAACTGTTTTAAGCTATTAACTGTAGAGTGGTTTAACCAGCAAGAGAAATGTTAAAATGAGGGGGGTAGTGAGGGAGCGAGAGAGAGAAACAGGCACTTCTGTTTCTAGGGTATCATGTCTGGCACATCTGAACTGTGGGTTACAAGTTAAAGATCCTGCTTCTCCACTCCTAGCTGCTCTCAACAGGAACTATACTTACTTAATATAAATGGAATTTGGTTAATCAAAGGTTATTGACACATGCCAATTGCCAGGCTACAGAGAATAGGTGGCTTTGCAATAAAATCTTACTGCTGTGGTTGATTGATAAACCTCCTGTCACTTTTAATAACCTGGTCTATGAGAGATCTTTTCAGGCGTGAGGAGCCACCACAACCAAGGACACAGAGGAGCTGCAGGTGCCACCACGGTCCTGGCCCAGGTCTCACAGAGAACAGGAAATAAAACTATGTAACAATGGATATTCAATGTACATTTGTATCTGATCCTTTGGTATTGCCTCGTTTCAATAGTATATTATAGCCTTTTCAAAATTAGAATAGCAAGTAACTGCAATTACCTTTATTTCTGTCTTTTCAAGACAGTGTTTCTCTGAGTAGCCCTGGCTGACCTGGAACTCGCTTTGTAGACCAGACTGGCCTTGAGCTCACAGAGATCCACCAACCTCTGCCTCCCCAGTGCTGGGATTAAAGGCATGTGCCATCACCACCCAGCACAATTACCGTCTTTAAAAATATCAATAATAATGTTTCTCAGAAAAGGAGCCGGATCATTAAAGGAGTATTATATTTACACTAAAGACAATTCCATTCCATTTTCTTCTTTTGATAGGTTATTAAGTCAGTTTAAAACAATTATTTTCGTGGTAACTTAAATGTCTGAAAGTGTCTCGGGACTATTTTAAACTTAGAATCCTATCATTAAGTTCCTAAAATAAAATAAGGCTAGGTGCTTACTTCAAGTTGGCTGTACAGTGGTGAAAAGGGGGATTTTCATTTTAACTTTAAAATTCAGTACAAAAGCCAAACTTCCACCAGCCTCAGGCCCCACCCATCATGGTTTCTCGCCTATACCCTTTCAGCCTATGCTCGATGCCCCTCATTCCTCAGCATGTGATGGCGTCCCAACCTGACCTTAAAATTCCTCATGCTAAAACAATAGGATTTTTAATGAACTCTGAAAAAATATCGCAAGCTCTCAAGAGAACAGAAGAAGAAAAATACAAAGTTTATTAAGTAAAGCAGAACTTCTCTTCTGCTTTCTTCTCCATCGGAAGCCTCCCATTGGGCCTGGAGTGTGGAGATGGGTGAGAGTCCAAAGAGAACCCATCTGCCAGTTGTCTGATTGCTTAGTGCTGCAGCCAGGACCACAGGCCCCCGACTCCTGCCAAGCTCTGGGGACAGAGCACTCCATTTCATCTTTCCCTTTTCCTGCTGCTTCAGGAACAGGCCAAAGAAACTCTACAGCACTTTGGATATGGCATTTTGAGGGAAGGCTCCTTTTCCTGTCAGAGAAGTCAGACTCTCCCTCCCCCACCCCTTTAATTATCCAAGACCATCAGAGACAGACAAGACAGACTGCCTGTGACAACCAAAGGGGCAAACACCCCAGCACGGCTAGACAGGCTTTTCAGGAGAGCTGCGGCCACTTTCCTGCAAACCCTCTTAGCACTCAGGGAAGTGCAAAGGTCGGGTTAATTGAGTGAGTGCTCCCTAAGGGCCACATGCTCCACAGGGAGCCACCCTGAGGGCCACACTTTCCACGTGTAGAGCTAGCAGTTAATTGTGCAGAAAGAAAAGCCATGAAATTGCACCCATTACCTCAGTGGGACTCTGGAGACTGAAATCTAAGCCACAAGTAAACTCTGTATGATGCTCCACTGTTTCCAGAAGTGGATCAGACTTTGAAAAATTCCAGAATCTGTAACAATAAAAAGAAAGAGGAGATAAAAAGAAAATGCGAGTCTAAAACACTTCTATTAACAAATAGATATATGGCACAGGAAAGATTTTTATCACAACAGGCTCAACTAATTCATAAGTGCAGGCCCCACTATTGATTTACATAAAGTATCTAATAAGGAAAGCATGTATTCCAGTCTATTAGATCAAAGAACAAAACAGAATTACCATCTGCCAAGTATTTGTTTAAAATTACTGTGTTCTCATTTTGATAGCTTGTAAAAAGGAAGCTTAAAAAGTTTTTGTTTAGAAGCTGAATTGTTAAACTCTCCAAGGCGCTGGGAATGAGAGACACTGCTTTCTTTCATAGGCGTTTCTAAAAGCAATCACGCCTGAAGACACGAGTATCGGATCAGATGAACTCTTAACATTTTGTGATTTTTAAATTCTATTTCATTTCTTAACAAGTAGCATGAAAAGCACTCAGGTTTAATTTACATTTCAACAGCAATTCAATTTCTGTAAAATGAATCTGCCCTCTTGTGAACACCACTGTACATGCTGAAACTCTCTTTCAGGCATAGCCTATCTTAGAGATTCCCCATCAATGTCATTTCCAGAGTCAAGCCAATATTTTATATTCTACTTCTCCTTTATAAACTGAGAATGACAATATTTACCATAATACAGCTCTGATTTCTGTTGTTCAGAAAATTATGCTCTATTTTCAATACATAAAATAGTACTTGAGTTTCTTAAAGCTTTATCCGCCTAACATCTTTCTATTTATTCTAAACATGCTATAAAAACAGCATATTCAGAATCCTAGGAATCATCTCCTAATTCAGCTTTTCTAATGATGTACAACATGCAGCACACTGAAGGTTGGGCTGGTCCCTCTGAAAGAGAGCAAACATACAGAACCAATAGTCACGGTTTGTTTAACCTGGTATTATTATTTCCCTAATAAACACAGTGCTGGCCCTATTAAGTTCTGAAAAGGACTCTTGCTATGGATAATCTCCTGTGTGGATACCAGAGAGATATTGAACAAATAGCTCATTTATCTGATTACTGAGAGCTACAGAATATTTAGGGAGAGAATTTTACTTCTGAATATGTGCCTTTTAAAAATAAATTGAGGGTAGAAGCCACAGACCACAGAAATGCTAATGATAGTTTTCTTGTTTTTGCATACTTGTTCCTAGACAGTGAATTGCACCAAGATCAAATTTTCTGAATCTTAATGATGTTTATATAAGCAAAAGTCAACTTGTAATTGTACAGTCTTGTTTCTAAAAACAAGTTACACATTGATTTGCATTACTTGAGACAATAATCAGATGATTTTGCTTGTATCCACAATGTTCCAACCATTTATAATGGTCTTTAAAATATGCATTTAGCATGACAAAAATGAGTTAAGGGAAAATTAAGGTTAGGAAAGTAAGTTGGAACCTTCAATGAGAGTAATAAATAATAATACATCCTATGAAGTCACATGTGTTTGAAAGGGAGAAACTTCAGGATGCTGAGCTTCCTAGTGGTCCCTAGGAACCACATCATCAGACCCTAAATTTGCATCTACAAGCACATTGCTCATCGACCACTCAGTAAGAAAGTCTCTGTTGGGAAGTTATAGACAAGACTATGGTTTATAATGAAACTGTTGTTAAGACATCTTCAGTCCACAGAGATGTGTCACCAGCTGCCACTTGTCGGTCATAGGCATCACCAAAGGATCTTTAGTGGTCACCTGACATAACCTAGGTACTCAGCTCTCTGGTCTGTGCATTTAGGTTTATTTCAGGAGATTGGGGAAGTCGAACCACCTTTATATATACTGCAATAATTGGCTTCTTATATTAGAAGTTTGCAAAGATAATGAGCAACAGGTTCCCAGAATACAATTTGTTATAGCTGCTGAAAGCCACTTGAAGTAACGCTGCACGACAATGAGAGTGGGCGTCATGAAAAAGAAAATGCCTACCAAGGACACATGTGTGGAGCCATCCAAATGACTGCAAGTGTGAGGGGGCTGAGAGACTTCAACAAAGGCGATTCAGATATGCTCAGCATGCAAGTAAATAGGCCTTAGAGGCCTCAGAGTCCTAAACCTCATCACAGTCACCATAAAAGCAGGGTTATCTATCATGTATCTGTGAATTTATTAAAAAAAAACAAAATCCCTCAAACAAAAAACATGTTAAAGTTCCTACAATCTTAAAAACAACTAAAAGTCCTAAGTAAAATACCAAAACAACCAAGCCACCACCACCAAAAAAAAAAAAAACAACCAAACAAACAAACAAGCAAACAAAAAAATATCAAGAGCATACATGAGAAATACTGGGGTAAAAATTAAGTGAAGATTGTAATCCACCAGCAAATGAGTCTGTGAAGGATTTACTAAACATGTAGAAGTATGGCTTCTAGTTTCTTTTCTCTTCTACTTTCTTGTATCTCTTCAGTTTTCTGAGACAAGATTTCATGTAGTCCAGGGTAGCCTTGAGTTGACTATATATCTAGGGCTAGCCTTAAACTCCTGATCCTCCTGCTTCTTCCTATGCACTAGGATGACAGGTGTGTATGCTATCCCCACTATGTGCTGGGGATCACATGACAGGTATGTATGCTGTCCCCACTTCCTATGTGCTGGGATCACATGACAGGTGTGTATGCTGTCCCCACTTCCTATGTGCTGGGTCACATGACAGGTGTGTATGCTGTCCCCACTTCCTATGTGCTGGGATCACATGACAGGCATACTATGCCAAACCCCACTTCTGAAGTTTCAATTTTCTTAACCTCAAGGGAAACAGGAGCCAGGAAAGTTAAAAGCACATCTACTTAATACTACAATTAAAAAGATTGATATACTGAATTTTATACTATGCCAGCAGACTATAATTTATCTTCAAATTGCAAATGACATTTTTAATAACAGAAGAAATACTTGTATTACTTCCCCCAATCCTCTGAAATAGGAAAAGCAATACCTGTAATAGCAGCCATAGTGAGTATTTCAGTAAGCACACTTCCAGAATGGCTACACTTATCTCCACTCAAGCTCCACTAAAAAAGAGTGAGTTATGAGAGGCAAGTGTGTGTTTCTCCAGGTTTCCTCATTGTGCAATATGTGAGCAGCTGCTTTTTCCTTGCAGATTTCTCCTGGACTCAAGGCTTCACCACAACAGATCAGGGGCTGCCCTGCCCTTTTCTGGTAGAAGCCAGCCCATAGACACCATTAGCTGGGTAGATAAGACCCACTGTTTTCAAGCGAAATGTTTGTTTTGGTGCAGCATATACACCAGTTGGTGCCCTTTTGTCTCTAGGCTGATAAAATCACTGACTATTTAGGCTCTCTGATGGGAAGTAAATACTGGACAGAGACTCCAATGATTAAAATATGACAGAACTGTAGAACATTTTTCATTGAAATTGGAGATCATATTACAAGTTACTTTTTGTCTTGACGCCACTGCTCTTCAACAAAGCAGTATAAAGCACTATTCAATAGAACATCAAAACTATTTCAAGAATTAAGCAGAAGCTACTTTGTTTCACTGAAATGTAATCTAAAATATCTATAGTAATACTTCTGAAGTTTAGGCCACAGATGAAATCAGTAAAAACAAAGTATTCTTAAACCTCACCCTTTCCCTTGACCAACTACAGCCTGTGAGTTAGCTACCAATTCTTTATGACTCTGCTTCCACTTAAAAAAAAATAAATAAAGACAGGGACAAGTTTTGGCTATTTTCAGTGTGTTGCCCATATTTTAGTTATAACTGTATTTTCACAATTTTAAATAGCACTACTGAATCACCTCCATTTGTGTTGATAATGGCCAAGTAGTCTCCAGAACAATGATCATACAATGTCACACATCTTTTCTATTCATTTAATAATTTATCAACAATCTATAGGCCCTACTACATGTATATTATGATGCTAAGCACCGTAAGCCAAAGAAATATGGCTCAGTCTTCCTGCAGCTCACAACTCAATGGAACAAACTGACAGATGGAATGTACGGCTCCCCATTCTAGTTTTAATTGCCAAAGAACTAGGAAGTTAGTTCAGAGGTTGAGCATGCACTTAGCATTGATGTGAGGTCTGGGTCCAACCTCTAGCAATGAAAATAAGAAGTAAATAAATAAAATCAAAAGCTATCAAAACACATATGGCAGCAAAAATGACATGTGCCCCTTCCTCCCCAAAGACAATGCAGTATAATGTAAGAATGACAGCCTGAGTAAGGGACAGTGAGCTTGGATCTGAAGGCTGAGGACTAGTCAGGTAGAAAGTAAAAATGCAGTAAAGCATTTCTGCCTGGGTCAGTAGAAGCCTGGCAGTAGGTGAAGGGGCAAGAGCAGAGAACCAAGCCTAGAACAGGGAAAGGGGAGGTGTGGTTCAAGAAGCTAACAGAGTCAGGATGCCTCTTATAGCCCAGGCTGACACTGAACTCACTGTGCAGGTGAGGATGACCTTGAACTCCTGATCCTTTTGCCTCTAGCCACCAAGGGGACAAGGACAAGAGGCTCAATGCAGTCAACCTAGCCTAATCCAGAGACCCAGGTTCCACTGACAGACCCTGTCTCAATAAACAAAGTTGGTGGTTTCTATGGAAAGACATGTGAAGCTGTCCTCTGGCCTCCATCTGTGCACACACATGCACACACACACACACACACACACACACACACACACACACACAAATCTGCTCCTGATCATTACCCATATCTCAAGGAACACAGAGATGAAAGTTCATTTTACAGCTAAGGGGAATAGGTCACGGAAAATCCTGAGATCCCTAACACCATAGCCAAAGTGCACATTCTACGAGCACCATGTCCATGACCTTGTCCACACAGTCCAGGGTGTTCAGGAGATCACAGAGAGGCACCATCTAGATTCTAGAGATAGTTTTGATTAACATTCTAAAGGCTCAAGCAGGCTTGTATCTTGCATCAACTCAGTTTCCCCCACCTTCTCAAACTACATAGAAAATCCCAT